TGCCACCAGCAACCTGCCTTTTCATAATCTGGATGCTGAATTTTAAAAGCAAAGAGGGAATGAGACAACAGCTTGATTGGTGAAGGAGTTACTGTTTAGATATGAAGACCCTAGTTTACCATCCTAGCAGCCAGACCCGGTTGCTGCCAAGGACCATGTCTGGGTCCATGGTCCTACAGTGATTGGAGTCTGTGTTGAAGTCCAAGGCCCGTGTTGCCTGCAAAGGTCACACAAAGTCCAGGGTTGGGGCTACAACCTGAGGTCTTGGGGGTGTCTGGGGGCCATGCTGCTGCCATAGTCATCCTGATCTGAGGGGCCAGTGCTTCCACCCAGAGCCAGGATGTCATCCGGCCTAAGCTGCTGCCAAGGGTCATGTCTGGGTCCATGGTCTAGGTGCAGCTGGATTCTATAAAGATATCTGTGGTCTGTGTCACCTCAGGGGGCCACAGGACCAACGTCTGATGAAATCAGAGGGCCATGCTGAGCCACTCCTGCCCTTCATTGGCCATGAGAAAACTGGCTCTACCTATTTCTGGACAATGTAGCATTCGAGCTGGCTCTGATCCTCACTCAGGAGAGATGGCCCCACCCTTCTCCATGGGTGTGGGAGAACAGATCCCGATGGGATGGGCATAGGGAAGCTGGCTTTGCCCCCTTGCCTCAAGTGGGTGGCCCTAGTGTTCAGTAATGACAGGCTCAGCTAACACCCAGGCCCACTGCCAGGCCTTGGGTTGACCTGCCCTAACAGCTGCCCCATCTAGGACCTGCTGGAGCTTGTAAAGGGACTGGTCCCATGGAACAATACCCACAGGATCGACATGACTTGGGGTAGCTGTGGGATGTCCCAGAGAAGTTTCTGTGAGGATCCAGTGATGATGGTGTACCAGAAACCAGAGGCCTTGAACTAGATCACTGACTCATTGGAATGAACATGTGCTAGGAAAGCTGATTGGACAAAAGGGCGTATGTGTGACACACCACTCTCAATGCCACTAGAAAAATGAAGAGGTGTTGGATGGATGGAGAAGCATTGACGTTTTGGGGAGGGTTGCTTTGTTCTTGTTTTTGTTTGATTATTTTAAAATTTTCTTTTGGGGGGTCATTGCAGGAGTGAGGGAGAGGATATGGGGCGACTGGGAGGTGAGCGGAATTAGGGGTCATGATGTGAAATTCCCAAAGAATCACTAAAGAAATTATGTTAAAACATAAAACAATCCTAGCACCAAGGTAAAACTCTGAGACAGTGCTTGCTTGTAATCCCACCTTCAGGAGGCAGAGACAGGTGGACGGCTAGGACTCACTGACCTGCCAGCCAGCCTAGCCGAATCCTAGTGAGAGACCCTATCTATAAAAACAAGGCAGAAGTCTCCTAAGGAAGGACACTTGAGGTTGGTACACACACACACACACACACACACACACGCACACACACACCTACCCACAAATAAGTAAACAACAACAACAACAAAATAACTTAAACAAAGAGACCAAAGCAAGGAGGAGGTGACTACAGTCTGTCTTGTTGGCCAGTCTCTCCCAGGGAATATTTGCTTCAGGTGCAAAGGACAGAAACTGGAAGATTCACGACACAAATTACACACTGAAAGAGAACACACAGAGACTTTCTTTTTCTTGGCAGTTCTGTTAGCACGCAGCAATTTCTAACTTTACAGACTAAACAGTTCTAATTGGTAAATGGATGGTTTGATTTGAGATGGTGGCTCAGGAGATAAACTTCCCAATTTGGGGTAATTGTTTATGAGTCATTGGCAGATTACTGTTAACCAGCCTTCATTTTGTCTTTGAGGGAAAAAAATGAAATTGAGTGTGCATGTTTCACACTTCACTGAAGGGAAATACTTATTGTGATAAAGAGAGACTATGGGGCAGAGGAAAACTCTCTTTGCTTATTTGTTACAACCAACTAGGCACAAGGTTTTTTCTCTTTCTGTTGGTTGAGGGAAACCCTAACCACACAGTGTCTTCAGCTGTAAAATGGGGACGGTCAGAGTCCCTGCGTCCTGGGCAAGTTACTGTGAAGATGTAGTCATTGTCATAAAGGCCTCAGTGCTGTGTGTAGCCTACAGTAGCTGAGAGGAAATGGGTCAGTCGCTGTCATGCTCAGTGTGAGTCATTGTCCCATTCTCCATAGAAGAGCTTCTTACATTATATGACAATGAGCTGCAAGGCCCACAGCTTCATAATGGGAGACTATGAGAAGTATCATTAATTTGTACTGATTCATAAGTCATAGTTCGGCTACTTGATTAGGCTTCAAATATTGGAATTATTTAGTGACTACTCTTTTACAAGATTTCACAGCCTCTCTTGATGGCTTACACCATGCTTAATTATCCTGAAAATTCATGATGTTTTCCTTCATCCTTAAATACTTTCCTCTTGATTTCTCTCTTGTGGAGTCAGAGATGGTTAACTTGTTAGAATAGAATGCGCTTAAAGCATTTGTCTTTGTGGCCCATCTTGATCTTGAAGAACTGAATGTTTCCTCATTCCATCTGTCCTCCTGAATCTGAAGGCTGCATCCTAGCTTATCTTTTAGGGTTTTCTGCTATGCTTATCACTGCTATTATTTATTTATTTAAAGTAACATTATCAACTGTGATGACTCAAGTCTGTAATTTCAGCTGCTTGGGAGGCTAAGGCCGGAAGTTTGTAGGTTCAAAGCCTGCCTTGGCTTCAGAATTAAGTCAAGACTGGTATAGGCAATTTATCAAGAGACTTTCACAATTTTTTTAAAGTTAAGACATGCTGGGAGTGTAGCTTAGAGGCACAGCACTGACCTATCATGCATGAGATGCCAGGCCCAACCCCCAGAATAATAAAACTACAGATAAGCAACAACAACAGAATTATGTAATCTTTTCAAGCCACCAGGTTACTATTGAGTATATTTGGTTCCCCATATGAAAACTTTTTAATGGTGTGAAAAGTTAGCATAACTTCTCAAGATGCCAACTCTCATCCAGAAAACAACTGCTTCGGTCAGGCAATCAGGCCCATTGTTACTAGTTTTTCACAGACAAGACAATGCTTATTTTCCTTGTAATGTTGATGACATAGTGTGCCTACGAAGCCTTTTGTATTGAGTACTAGCAAGTGAAGGAGTGTGTGTGACTTCCTATTGCATATCATTACATCTCTGAAACACTCGTGCCTGGGATAGTCTCTGCCCGGAGTGGAAGGCTGATAAATGCTCATTGGTGGCTTTGCTTGAATACCTAGTAGGAGCTTCAGTCTTAAGATATCCCAGCTGAAACCAGTGGTAGACTGACCAGTTTCCCTAGGAGGGCCAAATCCCAAGTCTTTCTCCTTGGTTATTTCTACATACAGTTTCCAAAGACATGTTGATTCCATCTGCTAAACCTTTTCCAGAGTCGCTCATGTCCCCGGTAACCAGTATTGTTTCCTCGTTCACTCCTGGTGGTCTGTCTGCCCTCTCCTTGCCAGATGTGGATAAAATCACTCTTTCTGCACACTTTAGTAGTGTATAAAGTGAGGACACGACCACTCCGAGGTATGGCTGAGGGGAAGGTTTTTATTGTAGATGTGAGGGAGAGTACAACCAGAGGCATCTGGAAGAGTTCAGAGCATGGAGAGAAAGCAGTAGACTAAACATGGCCAGCAGGCTGGACCACGCCATGAGAGAGGGATGGGGCGAAGGAGAGAGGAAGATCGGAGAGTGTGTGTAGACAAAGGAGACCAAAGCAGAGGGCCAAGAGAAAGTCGAAAGGGAAGACCAAGAAAGCACATGGCCAAAACGACAGGGTTACCTGTGAACGAGAAACTGGGGGAAAGGAAGCCCATGTGCTAGAGAAGTTTGGGCAGGGGAGTGGGTTGAGAAGAGCCAGGATGCCAGCATGGACTCTGTAACAGGGATTTGTGATGCTGAGAGAACCTGGAGGTCAGCTTGCATTTTGGTCTGCTAATAGGTATCAGAGTTAGCCATTTGTTCAGACTTTCTTTGGGGTATGACAAGTAGCTCCTTGTGCTTGGACAAAGCCTCAAACTTTACAATGGCTTACAAAACTACTGTGACATGTCCACAGCCTCCCTCTCTCTCTCTCTCTCTCTCTCTCTCTCTCTCTCTCTCTCTCTCTCTCTCTCTCCAGCTGTTGTCTTTCTCCTACATGAGTTAATTGAGCTCTCTAAATGCCCCCAGCCCTCCTTCACCCCTTCACCCCTTCCTGGGAACTTCTATCTTTTTCTGCCTCCTGCCAGTGTCTGTTTTCCAGGCTTCCAAACGCGTTGCTCTCATATACTTGAACTTCATTTTCTTCAACACCCCATCTAAACAGGTTTACACATTCCCCAGGTATCTGGATTTTTAGAAACTACTGTAAGATAGTTGATTTAGCTTTTATTCAAAAGGTGGAAAAACCAAAGCACCATGTGAAGAAACTTGGGCCATGTCGCCAAGCAACAAAATGGGCAGGGAAGGATACTAGCTGTGCAATTTTGGATATCCGCATTTTTGCCGTGCCTAGGATTGAGTGGCACTCCTTATACATGGAATGAATTGCTTTATGAATCTCAGCCTGAGGCTGAGGTGCCTTTCTCTATACTCAAACCTTTCTCTATACTCAAAGGAGCCTCTGTTTCACCATGCATTCTTGGGACAAGGGAGGCCAGATTCCTCTTTAGGTCAGCTTCTTCCAGAAGGAAATAAGCCTAGTAAGAGAAGCTGTGTTGCTCTGGTGGGTTTCTGTAATGTCAGCTGGCATGGATCAGAAGAGCTTTTGTCACAGAGGCAGTTAATGGTGATCTACACATTTTAGTCACTTGCAAAATGGCTGGCACCCTCACAACATGAGGAATCTCTCTCTCTCCCAGCATGAGAAATCTGGTGACCCAGCTATTTCAATAGGTGGCTTGTGTGTGCTTCAGTCCTAGTGACAACTGGTGCTGAGTCCCATGCCATACTGAAACTGATTCTGTTTGGTGATTTTAATGAAGTGCCTTTATTGTTTTTCTTCCTGCAGATCGCTTTTCAAAGAAAATGGCCATTTCTTCCAACTCATGCCTGGGCCTCATCTGCTCATTGTTATGTTATTGGATGAGGACAGCATCCTCTCTGAATCTGGAAGACCCCAACGTATGCAGCCACTGGGAAAGGTAACTGTTCTGAAAGCAGCCAGAGCCATTTATCCTGTTATCACCACAGGCCCGATGCATAGAATGGAAATTTCAGAAGACACTTTGAAATAACTTTCCTGTGAAAAAAATCAGTCTTAATAAATTGAGTCATGTTACTGTCCTTGGAATGCATATATATATATATTGTGTGTGGGGGGGGAATCATCTGGTTCTAACACATCTACAGTTGTAAGATGGAGGGAAACACTAGTAACTCAACTAGAGTTTGTAAGCGCTTAAGCAAATGTGGTGATTGGAGAAGCTGGACCCATGCTTGAGAATGTTGAGTGAGCAGCATGGTGTAACGTGCTACACTAATACATTGAACTATATGCAATTAAAATGGTTGTACCATGGGTAGCCTGATGGTTTGAGCCAGGCCTGTTCAAGGCCTGGTGTAGCACAGTGCTGCAACCCCAGCTCCTCAGGAGGCTGAGGAAGGAAGATCACAAGTTCAAGCAAGGTCTGCCATCTGTAAAGAGAAGCCTTTTCCTTGAGAGAAGCCTTCCCACCAGCCTGATTCCAGAGCTGCATCAGTCCCAAATAAACACAAGGAGGCTATATTAATTATGAAGCTGTTGGCCTTGCTTGTTTCTTACTGGCTAGCTCTGACTTAAGTAATTACCCCATAATTGTTAATCTAAGTATTTCTCTTACCGGAGAATAGTTCTGGGCTTCCTACCCCACGGCGTTACATCTTGACTCTCTATGTTTCTCCTTCCCAGAGTCTTCCTGGACTCCTAGTCCCTCCTATCTAGATTCCTATTGGCCAGCAGTGCTTTATTGACACAGGACTTCCCCAACAGCCGTCACTACAGAATCAGCTTAAAGTCAGAGTTGGTAATTTAACAAGACCTTGTTGTAAAATGGGAGTGCAGCTAATGTGGGGCAGGACTTCAACTAATAGCACACTTTCCTTGGGTTAAATCCCAAGCATTAAAACAATTGAGGCCTGATTTTTGCATGAACAGGGAAGGCCGAATAGAGGCATGGGGGTATTATCCCCAGAGGTGCTCTGGAAGATGTGAGTGGATAGCAGTTGGAGGGGGCAGTTCTTCTACAGATGGAAGATAGCTTGAAGTTGATGTCTTGCAGATTACCCAGAACTGCAAATAGGACAGTCAGTGGGGCATTAGACGAGGTAGCATCAGGTAGATTATGTGAAGACAGAAGATGGAGTATCGTGGTGGTGGGCAATTCAGGGTAGGAAATATGCAAAACACATAAAACAAGAGGCCACCACCCTCAGGGAGCCCCTAGTTGCCGCTGAAGCAGAAAATGCCAGGCCAAGCGTGCCCTGTGCTGGTGTAGTGTTGGCAGGTGCAGGCTGCACTGCTCTGAGGAGCTGCTTGGGGCCTCAGGGATGGTCTCGATCGTTACCCCCAAAGTAGCAGTTCATCAAAAGGTTTAACCAAGCAGACAATGTTTAGATCTTAGACATCAACATGCATTTCTCTTGGCTGAAGCACAAGCATACCAGTGCTCAGCAGTGTTTCCCTCAGCACCATGATTAACAGAGGTCATAGTGCTAGGAACATACAGGCGTCTTCCACCGGCAATTACATTTTAGAACCAGAGTTTGCTGCCACCTCAGTTGGCAGCATAAAATCTGGGTAACAAAACACGATTATTTTATCAATTAGTGAAGTTACAGATCATGAAACTTTATGCTGTAGAGAAAATAGGTGATATAAGGTTGCATGAGTTTATGGTAGCAACAATGTCATGTAGAATGAAAGGAGCAGGCACCTACTAATTACCTTTATCATCTTAATAGCACCTTCCCCAAGACATTTCAGTATGGAAGTATGCAAAAAATATTTACTAAAATAGTAGGAAAGAGTCTGGGGTACAGGAGTGTATGTGTGTGTGTGTGTGTGTGTGCGTGCGTGCGTGTGCGCGTGCGTGTGCGTGTGCGTGTGTGTGTGTGTGTGTGTGTGTGAGAGAGAGAGAGAGAGAGAGAGAGAGAGAGAGAGAGAGAGAGAGAGAGAGAATATGCATTGCAGCAAACTTTGAACCAGAAGGGACCAACTGGCAGTTAAACATCTTAGTAGTTGGTAGCTTTAGGCATGAGGAACAGTTAAACTTGTGAGATGCTGAGAAGTACAAATCAATGGATCTTGAAAATATCTTAGCTGTGATGTGAAGCTGGTCCACCGGAACCAATGTGTATCATTGCCCATGTGGGAAAACAGTGAAGAGCATATGCGTTCATATCGTTCGATAGCTTGGGCTTAGGAATCAGGCAGAAACACGTGCCTGGGAGTGGCTGGGAATTTAGCACTGGGATGTTTAGTGTTGGGATCTTTCAGCCAGAACCTTTTGGATGACCAGATTTGACTTGATTTCTTACCCATATTAAACAACACTGTCAACACACCATTGTCTTGTCTTGTTGACCGGGGATAATTCCCACTGTATGGGACTTATGTGTGGCCATCTACTCAGTAGACAATTATTGAAAAGTGGGCACACCTTCTGGTAGTGATTGAGATGGCCAAATATGGATGTGGGCTTTCACAGTGAGAGATACAGGCCACTGTAGTCTCTACACTTAGTAGAAACTGGAGTCAACCCTGAAATCATCACTATGAGGGAAGGAGACAATGGGAGCCCCCGGGGACATGCGTTTACTACATCTACTACAAAGAAGGGGCAACAACCACAACATCCTTGTTGATAAATGTTTTCTTTTAAGCTGATGATTCCTAGAAAATGTATTTTTTAAAAAATGTATTCATAAAAGTAAAAACCATTAGGTCAATTAAAATGACCAAATGAAGGGCCTTTGTGGCTTAGTGGCTAAAGAAACCTGTGCCAAGCCTGGAGTCCCAGGGTCGATCCCCAGAATCCATATGGTGAAAGGAGAAAACCAATCTCTACCGTCTGTCCTCCAAACTCCATATTACCATGTGCATGTACACATACACACACACACACACGTGTACACACACACACACGTATACACACACTCATATACACAGACACACACACACATGCACTCACACACATATATACATAAACATACACTCACACTCATGCACACACATATATACATGCTACATACAGATATACTTGTAAAAATTTGTGAAGGCACAGGCAGTACATATATTTTGAAAAAATGAAATGAGGAGACTAGTTCCAAGGACATGTTCTTGGGAGTAGGGTTTGAGTGGGTCTCATGGTAGACTGTTTTGCAATGAAAACCACCTGTACCCTGAGGTTTAGAGCCAGGAAATGGAGCCTGCTTTCCCAGTGTGTCCTTGTAGAAGATGTGCTCTCAGGCTCCATCAGTCATATGGGGTCAAAATCTGCATCTTAACAGGATCCCCTGGAGTCTGTGTAGACCTTCACCCTGGAGAAAAGCAGGAATACAAACCCTTCGTCAGGTCCTGTTAGCTGCATCTTCATTGATTTCTGAACATTTTCTTTCAGACAGCGCCATGCCTTGTTTTACTATGGTGACTATGGTTTTAGGGTGTTGCAGATAAAACAAAGGAGAGAAAGTTAAATCCTGCAAAACGTGCAAGGGGAGCCCGTGAGTGAAGGAACCCTGCACAGCATCCTGTTGGAAAGCCAGTAACTCTGAACCCCTTGTCTCCCTCTCACCCCTGGGCTTCAGTTCCAGCTTTTCCATCTCCATTCCTATGAAGATGGCATGAAGGAGGAGCAATGGCTCCTTTCCCAAAGCCCCAATTAGTAATACAGAAGTGGTAGTAATTGAATCAGCAGTACTGAAGCGAGATGAGAGAAGAAATGAGGATTATTACCATATCTGATTAAAGTAACACGGTAATTCAGGCAGATAAAATGTAATTAACCACTTTGGAATGTGCCCAAGTGATGATGGCTTGCCCCCCTCCTGTTCTGTGACCTTAAATTAATTCCTGCTGGGGTTTCTCCCTTGTGATGCCTAATAGGTTAAAATCATGATGATATGTTTCTGTGTGTTTGAGGAGGTTAAACAAACAAGCCACAGAAAGCAGAGGGGTACAATTCCTTCAGCAGAGGGGTTCCTGCTCCCCACTTGGGTTTGCAGCCTGGAGTGCTCTGGGGTGGCATCCGAGAGGGGACAATGTGAGAGGGGCATGGTTTGTCAAGGCCTGATGCCGGTTGTCAGGGCTGACTCGTGACTGGCTCACCAGCATTGGGAGCTCCTGTTCCCTGTGATGGGAAGTAGACCAGATGGAAATGTACTAGACAATGCAGACTCGGCTTTCCTCGTCTTCCAGGCCTTTTCAGAGCAGCTCCTGGTCAGTGTGGTGGCCTGGACTGCTAGCTGAGGAGATAGCAGGGTTCAAACATCACTTGACCAAGGCATAGTGATGAGGGGGGTGTTGGGAGAGGTGGGCCACTTTGCAGACATTCTCCTTCCTGACGTCAGCATACAGCTTCCAGCCAGTGTGCCCACTGAGAAGTGGCAGCCTATTTGCCCAATGACAGATAATAACAGAGTTAAGTGTAACCACCGACAGAGACTATTTGTGACCATGGGGAAAAGCTTGCAATGTGATCTCAGGTTTCAAACGTGTATGCATTGTGTGATTATAATGTAAGAAAATTCAAAGCCCTCAAACTAACCTCCAAAGACCACAAAGGACAGCGTGTTTCTGGGGACACAGTTGTTACAGAATTCTCTCATTCTCATTTTAAAAGTTTGTTTTCCAAATTTCATAGTGTGCTTTAGAATTTCTTTAAAACTGGAAGAGGAAGGAGTAGAGAGACGGCCCAGTCAGTAGAGGTCTTACTGCTCATGCCTGAGCTAGGCCTGAGTCCATCCCAGCACCCATGTAAAAAGCACAGCATGGTGGTCGTATGTGCTTCCACATACAAACACAGCTTCCACCTCAAAGGAATAAAAGTTCATTTTGGGCCAAAATCTGAGTGATCATGGCCTAGGAACACACATCCCAAATTTCATTATTCCAAGGTGGAAGCAGTTTCATGAAATTTTTATTGCAATAGAACAAAATAAGTCACAAACGAGGGCATTTAAAAATACGTATTCCATCACATCATTTGGGGGAGGGCCAAGGCCCTGCTTTCCATATCTGGGCTGCAATACAATTCCTCCATAGGAAATGGGCTCCCCCGTGGAGGATCTCACTATCCCTGGGGAGTGGGTGGTGGGTGGGCTGGGGGATCGGTGGGAAGCATGGGAAGATGGGAGGGGGAGGGAATGGGGGGATGGATATGTAAATAAGAGAGTCTCTAAATATTAAAAAATCAATTTTCAGAAAAAATAACATATCCCTAGATACTACATTGCAGTATGCTAAAAGAAATATATATCATATATGTGTGAACTATAAATACATGCGTGTGTGTGTATATATATATACGAATATATATGTATATCAAACATTACGATTATCTCATGTATCTGCCATTGACATGCAGGTATAAAACAATCGCGGAGACCAGTTTGAGACCTGTTTTTGAGGTGACCATTGTGCAGCCTTTCCAACCAGGTCCCCCCATGTCTAACCTGAAATCTTCGTGTTAGAAATTGAAGTTAGAAGTTAGAACCTCTTCCTCTTGTCCATTCTCGTGTTGGTATTTCTTGTTAATGAACTCAGACTAGGGATTGCCCTGCAAGCAAGTCAGTGATGGCATCACATTTTGTTGTTGTGCAGATTTTAATGGAGACTTAATGCCAACAAAGCAAACCTTCTGGAAAAGAAAATTCTCCTGATTTTCCTGTAGGCACACATTATACCCTGGGGCATGCAGAAGGCTTCCGATGAACGAGTACAGAATTGAGTGTCCAGAGTTCTTTATATTCCCTTCTTCCCAGTGGAAACAGGATCCCATGTTTCCGGTCTCCCGAGAAGGCATTAGTGGAGTGTAAAGGAGAAGGGCATGCTTGGAAGGTAGCGAGCTGCTGGTGTTTCAGGCTGACTGCCTGTTTATATATTCATAGCCGAATGTAAAGGACTCATGGTAGCCTTCGTTTCTGTGTCCTGTGCGGTCTTCTGCTGCCTGGGAAGCTGGGCCAGCATGTGAAGGCCAAGTGCTCCAATTGTTCTGATGTTTTCAAAATAATCAGTGAAATGTAGTCGGTTCTGAATACTGGGATTGTATCTCTGCTTATTAACCTTGTTGTTTGTCTGCTGACTTACGGTGAGAACCTTTTATGAAAGGCCTTTGTTGTGCATGGAATCCTGGGATGAGAGCGGTGAATCAAGAACAGAAAGACACAGAGATATGTTTTGAAGTTTGGGAAGATTATCCTAGCGTGGACAGGAAAAGGATTTCCATTGCAATGTGTAACGTGGACACTTGTCTTTTTCTTTATTGCTAATATTTGTCTTTGGGCTGTGCTGGTTCAATCTAAAACCTATGTAAACATGAATATTCTCTGTTAAAAGCCAGTGTGAGAGCTGGCATGTAGGTTCAAGGCATGAATTCAATCTTTGCCAAAGAAAAAACCATTTGGGGCTGTAAACAATGATAGTTTAGCCTCTGTTTTGTTTGTTTGTTTTGTTTTGTTTTGCTCTTTTTAAAATGTGAGGATCATATCACTAACATAAAAGTAGAGCAATGCTGATTCCTGTTTTATTCTTGTCTTTTCTTTTCAGCTACTCAGTGACCGTGCAGGAGTCATACCCGCATCCCTTTGATCAGATTTACTACACGAGCTGTACTGACATCCTGAACTGGTTTAAATGCACACGGCACAGGTAACGGAAGCTTGGATTTGTGTCTGAGCTTGGCTGTGTGGAAATGGACTCAGATACAATCACAGATACCACCTTCTTTAGAAAGTGTACCCACACATCCAGAGAGAAGTTGTTGAGGGCTTTGATTCCAAGCCCAGGGGACGGCAAAAGGCTGACATAGTCCAAGACCTTTGTGGATTTACAGTCTAACTATTGGTGACACATTTACTCTCCTTCCTGTGGTTAGAAAAAACCTCATCCAGTTCATTTATTGAGGATGACTGTGGAAGACACTCTCTTTTTTTCATTTTATTCATTTTTTTGGGAATTTTTATGCAGCATTTTTATTATATTTTCCCATGCTCCATTTCCCCTCAGATCTCACTTACCCAACTTCATGTTATTTCTCTAGGAGGGGAGGGAGAGGGAGCTGGGATTGACATGTGAAGCAAACTTGTTTCCAATTTAAATAAATTTAAAAAATTCCCTAAAAATAAAGAGAAAAACAAACAGACAAAAAACAAAGAGAGAGATCCACTAAGAAATCATGGAATCCCATGGACATGCAGAAGACTTGCACAGGTTCAAGCCTGATGAATTCCTAGCAAAGGGGAGGGGATAGGCACAACATCCCACCCCAAGAAGAAGCTGTTTGCAAATAGCCACTGAGAGAGAGGAAATCAGTTGTCTTAAATGGGTTGACACTGGGTGTATGAACTCTACTCCAGGGCACACCCATGCTCTGGAGAAGTTCGCTAGCACAAATTGGAGACATTTTCCTTTGTCCATCATCAGATAGCAAGAAATGCATGCCTCAGTGTCTGTTTCTAGTTGGGTATTTCACTAAGTTTCTGTTGAAATTTAATCTTTAAATAAGATAGGCTATCTATGATCCATGAGAGCACAGAGCCCAAAATATTAGCACTTGTGATAAAGGAAACTCTGGTACTTTATTTCTCTTAGTTAAGTCTTTATAATATCATCAATTATGGATTGAGTGTGGTACCTGTCCTTTTATGATCTATTATTTGTTTAATATGCTTCTTTATTAAACAAATTTTACCAGCTCTACTTCTACTAGAAGTGTAAGTTCTAGTAAGAGGAGTATAAAGAAAGTCTTTATACTATTTTGCTTGGTGCAATTCATTCCTTGGTTCCTAAAATAGTGTCTGCAATATGCTAACTAATCAAGAAATGCATGTGTTTTTTGAGTCAGTGAATGAATGGTGCTTTGGTTAAATCAGATGGTAAAATTAGTCTTTTATAGTAGGATGACACTATGTTGAATTTTAAAAGAAAGTCTGTGAATTCTTTCTTTGAAATATAAGTGAATGTTCCTAGGTCTCTATCATATATTAAATTAATTGATACTTTGCACATTGTATGAAAATCACAACATTTCTGATGCTTTGAAATAAAGTTCAGATTGGCTGGTGTGGAGAATCCTATTTAGCGCTGTAATAACTTGATCAAACCTGTATTCTGTGTTGCTTCTTGTTTTGACACACTTGGCTTTTTTGTACCTTTATTATGGCTGGTAGCTATTTTTACTAAAGTAGAAGTAATTCCTTGTTAGCTTGTCAACCAGAGCTGATGGCACAATCTTTTCCTTCATACAGAATCAGTTACCGGACAGCCTACCGCCACGGGGAGAAAACCATGTATAGACGCAAATCGCAGTGTTGCCCGGGATTTTATGAAAGCCGGGACATGTGTGTCCGTAAGTAAGGTGTCCATCCTTTGTGCTGTTCTTACATGTTCAGTGCTGCCTAGGGGAGTGACAACTGAGCTGGGGTCCTTAGAAACGGGGCAGTTGGAATGCTCCCCTTTGCTCCTGGCTGTTGGGCTCTTGGCTTATGTCCTGCAAAAAGCATTAATTTTGTCCCCAGGTCCTATCAAAACTCTCCAGATGAGTATTGCTTGAGGAGAAAACAGCTGTACAGAAGATGATGCAAGGCCGGATGTGGCCTTGTCAAACTGTCATTTCAGCTGGAAATTGGTTAGGAGTCACTGGGCTGAGGTCACAGAAGAGAGCAGGAACATGGCTTTCCTGCTGCAGCTAGCTTCTAAGGGGCCAGGGTGCTGTTTTTATGATCACAGAAAGATGAATGAATGGGTCCAGGGCACAAAGCACAATTGCATTTTCACTAGCGTCTTTCTTCCCTGCAGCATATCCCCCACTTGGTTCTGAGACATCTTGGGAGAAGCCTATAGCTTCTAACATATTCAGAAGGCTCTAGCTCTCATGGGATGCTGCTACAGTGGAGGTTTGTTAGTATTGTTTTGCATAAGTCATTTAAAAGAGAGATCATGGAAAACTACTTAATTCAAGTATTGTGACCCAAGGCACGGCTGTATGGCAATCTCCACATCTGAGCTGAGGCACTGATACTGGGGAGGTCAGAGACAAGGTTCTACTACAATCTGGAAGCAATGGAGATGCCTGATGGGTCTGAATTGACATTACTAGCCCCACCAACCACTCAGCTGGGTGGCTTCAGATCTATCATCGCTACCTCTAGGAGGCTCAGAGGGTGGGGGGAAGTTAAATCCGTGCCTGTCAATCTTCATGTAGACATTAGTAGCTTCCCAACTTTGGTTCAGGACTGCCACTATATCTACTGACACATGCCCATAGAAAACAAAAATACAACATGAAATTAGCAAAAAGGAAACAAAAGACATAGTGCATGGCTTGTGCAGCCAGTAAATGTCCTCTGAGACCAACGGTGCATCGTTGTACTGTAGATATTTCTCAATTAAACTCTCTTGAGTATGTACACGGCCTCTATTTGTCTCTGTCATGAACTGATCCACAAGCTGTCCTTGTGCTTAAATAATTATTCACTCCCTAAATCAGTTAAGTCTAAATTCCTAGAAGTAGAATTGCTAAGCCAGAGGTGTATACATCTGGAGAATTTCCAGTGTACAGACACTCTCGGGCAGTGTGAATGCCTGTGAGCCTATACTCTGTGACAAGTTTTGTCTTAATTTGCATGTCTTTGACTGATGAGGATGGTGAATAAGAAAAATTACATGTTGGTCATCAAACAGAATAATCAGGAACTGATGTCATCGGCCTGAGCTGATGAGAAGCTGTCAGAAGAAATAAAGAGTGCAGTGTTGGGGTGGAGGCCTCACTGGCTGGCCTGGCCAACCTCCAGGGATGTGGGTGACATGATTTTGATGCCCTTTGCTAGGGTTCAGCCTAACAAACACAATTGCCAACCCACACTGAGAGAGTACTTCTGTCCCCAGATCATAGGACTCATGAATGCAGCCCCAACATGATTACTTTGCACATGGCTTGAGGTTGCTTGGGCCTTGTCTGGCGATACCTCCCCTCCTGGAATACCTGCATGGAGGAAATGACGTCCAATAGGCCAGTTAGTGTGGGAAGTACGGACCCAAGCAGGAGCATTTATAGACTGCAACTCAGTGTTCCATGATCGCAGCTGCAAATCTACTAGTTCATCTTGCCTGGAATTATGTTGGCAAAATATCAATGCGTTTCTTCCACTAGACTCATATAATGTGTTCCCCAGGCTATGGGAATGACACCTTTAGCAATTGCTTCTTAAATTCTAAAATTTTTTTCTATGCCTTCGTAGCTTACCTGCTGTCCCTATAGTCAGAAAAAAGTTTTGTTTTTCTTTTAGTTATGTTAACATATTTAATGAGCTCACTGTCTGCTCTCACTAGCCTGGGAGCTATTTGACTTTTTTTTAGGGTAGTTTGCATTTATCACCTGTGGTGTCTTACTTCATTGCTGAGTGCCCTGAAAAGAGTTGACTTCTCTTTTGATTGTGATGGAGGACGCCTTTCAGCAGCCCATCTACATCTGAATCCCTGGGCTAGCTAGGTACTGGAGACAGCAGGGAGACAGAGGACAGTGTTCTTGGTGCTGCTTTTGTGATCTCTTCCCGCAGGTTTTGCTGCCAAGCAGGTAGCTTAGTCATCATTTTCAAATGTTTCCAGAAATGAATGAAATAAGGATGGGTCCTTAGTTCAAGTTAATCATTGAGTACCAGCTTTCCTGGAAGTCAGAAAAGAATGTTTTTTTTCTGATTTGCAATCAAATTTTTTCAAGTAGCTGAAAAATCTCCTCTTGGAGAAATGGTCTCAGGTGTCCTAGGCTGGCCTTGATCTTGCCATGAAGCCTAGGATGACCCTGAACTTCTCATCCTCCTGAGTGCTGGGGTTACAGGCCTTGTGCTACCATGCCCAGTGTATGTGGTTTACATAGGATTAGGTATCAAAACCAGGGCTTCTGTCAACTGAGCTATATCCACATTTCTTAAAGACATTCTGTATTCTACTTTTCAATGTAAAGGGATTCATTGTTTTTGGTTTATCCCCAAATCATTTCCTCCTCTTCCTCATAGAAAAAAAAATCAGGTTCGGTAAAGAGGGTTCAGTACAATTAAAGTTAACGTGCACTTGTTATTTGCCTATAGTATAGAATCCAAGGGCTGGGCTCTGTGATTACATTGTTTATCTGAGAGAGCTCTGTTCCTTTTCCCCAAGGAGTTTGCCCTAAGTAGTTTTTAATGTCTTCACAACAGCAGATTAGTAGTTATCTTCACTAAGTGTTTATTTTGTGCCAGGCATATATATCATCACACAAATTCCCCCAAACTCACTGTGAGACAAATATGATCATATGCATTTTGTAGATGAGGAAATTGATTGGGTGGTGGTAAGTGGTGAGTAATGATGCTGTATATATTCTGAATGTAGAATGAGATACTTCATCCAAGCAGAAGAAAGTGGCAGAACAGCTGATGGATGGAGGAGAGTCACCCGCTCCTGTCATACTGTATTTCCCAAAAGTGGCTCAGTGGGCATTATGATTACACGACCTTGGAGATATCAAAATTGCTCATAGACCCATTTTGCTCTTGAAAACAAAGTTGCTTCATTCAATTCACAAATTCAATTCTGTTTTTGTGTTAATCTCTTTTAAGGTGACTAAAATGGGCAAATATTTTCTCTTTTGAAGTTGACCTTTGAAAAGGTTTCTGAACACAAAGAACTCCTATAGATATTGCTTAGATAGCAAATATGTCTATGTGTATAAGTCTGGCAGTTGCTGTGGATACAGAGGTGTGCCAAGGGTAGGGTGGGGGTGGACCTTTCAGCTAGCGAGGGAGTCTTGGCTGCTGCACCTCCTGTTTAATACTTTGGGGGTTCTGAGGATAAGAGCAGAGTTCAGAAAGACCCAGGAACTACTAAATTTCATATTCAAAGCAGGGGAGGACTGGAGATGAGGTTTTGTGGGGATTCTCATCAAAGGTCCCTCAAGATGAGGTCCTCCTTCCTCATTTAATGCCAATGGAGGCAGCAGAAGATGCTGAAACATATTTGTTATTATGTGCTAAGGGGAGAGATCCCTGGAGAACACCATGTTATTCTTGCATTTGGAGCACAGTGGGGAGATTGTGGTGAATTAAGGTAGAGTCTCTGGGGAGGTGGTGAAATGCAGACCCCCAGCTCAGTGGTCTGAAATGGGCACAGACCTATGTGTTTCTACTGAAGGTTCAAGGCTGTGCAGAAGCCATGTTCACAGAGTACACTTCGAGAAGCTAGGCTTCTCTGGGAGACAGATGAATGCTATTAGGCAGGAAGAGGAGGAGAGACTGTAAGTATAAATCTTTTCTGAGAGTCTGGTTGGGAGAAAAGGAGAGATAGGAAAAATTTTCACAAAGAAAGTGTCACTAGGACATGAAGATATTTGTGACATGAAATTTTACTCTGTTTATAAATCATGATGAACCCTAATTTCATCCATTCTTGGATTGGGTTTTCTTGATCTGATGTCTTTAGTTATTTTTGATATGGAAAAATCTTCATCTTAGTGAAGAAATGACCAGGGGATGAAAATAATTTTAATGTGCGTATATAGAAATCTACATGTGTGAGTGTGTGTATATGTCTGTGTATGTTTGCATATGTGTTTATATATGTATGTAGATACATGATCTTTTAAAGTTACATAATTGATAAAGGGTCAGGTTCTTGTACCTAACTACATGCTTGCTCAAACACATGCCAATATATTTTTATTAACATACCCAATATTCATGTTGGGATTACTGTTGTATTCTGTAGCTCTTCACTGTAGGTTGGTTAATACACTGTTTTTATGTACTGGTGTTAATGAATGTGTGAGCATTATAGTTATGAACCCCAAGGGGTTCATCCATGTTGCAACACATGTCAGGATTCCCTTCTTCTCTGTAAGGCCACCTGTTTATTTGTCATTGTTTGCTGAAGGTTTTAAACTCCAGAGAGCATAGTCCATGTTGCTACCTATGGAGCATGGCAAGTCCACTGTCTTCATTGTGGTCTATTTCAGATGCCTTAGAATGTACATACATTACTTCCTACTGTGCTTTAAATTATGTACTTTGGTTATCTCAGTTCTTTGAATTTTGTAATTCTTTCTTAAGAGACAGAAATTGACCATGATAAATGACTCAATCATGGATTCTTCTCATTTATTCCTTGTCTTCTGTGACCACACATGCCTTGTGAATTTTAAAATGGTATCAGTTCCCTTTTGAAAACTCAACTTTTGAGTTGTTATGTTAGAGATTGAAGAAGCAGCAAACCACTGTTGATGTCCTTCAGGACTTCATCTATGTTAAAGGTAGCAGTGTGGTACAGACTGGAGAAAGGACAGACAGACCATTAGGTCCTCCCTTCTCAACTGGACCA